AGCCAAGATGGAAACATAGGTAAACTCGCTTCACCTCCTCACACAACCATAAGAAAGATAACAACCAACCTAAAAACAAAAAACTAGAACTTTCAGAAAATCAAACATTATGGAAGTCCAACAGTGAAGGATTTAAAGAAGAAATGTTCATCTAGGCAGGTAGGAGGAGTGGGGAGGATGTGGCATGGCCAGGCAGTGGCAAGAGGCAGCTACAACGTCAGAATAGGCAGTTCAGTTCCACATGCACATACGGCTGATAAAAACCAGGAGGGACAACTGGGAAGCAAGTGATCCCAGCCCCATGACAGACTGAGCAGCCGGGAAAACAAAGCCTCATAATCTCTGGCTATAAAAACCAGTGGAGGCTGGCACAGTGGAAGAAGCTGACAGTCTGTCAGGAGAGTCCATTTAAAGAGCCCAAGGGTCCTAGAACATACACAAACCCACCCACTCTGGGAATCAGCACCAACCAGGGAAGCAGCTAGAAGGATGTCAGATGCTTACAGGAAGCAGAGGAAGTGACTGGAACTGGAGTGAGGGCCAAGCAAGTAACACTGTTCCGTCTCTGCCTCCTCCGCCAAGAGACAGTGGCACAAAGCAGCTAAGCAAGTTGCACAGCCCTAGCAAATACCTGAGACTCCACCCCTTACAACGTAGCAAGTGCATCAACATGGGGAGCCAAAGCAGCTCTACCTAATACACAGAAACACAGGGAGCCTAAGAGATTGAGGAGACAAAGAAACATGGCCCGAATTAAAGAACAGACCAAAACTCCAGAAAAAGAACTAAGTGACACAGAGATAGCCAACCTATCAGATGCAGAGTTCAAAACACTGGTGATCAGGATGCTCAGAGAAGTGACTGAGTACAGATGCAAAATTAAAGAAGTGAAGGTTATACAAAGTGAACTAAAGTAAACTATACAGGGAACCAACAGTAAAGGGAAGAATGCCAAGACTCAAATCAACAATTTGGAGCAAAAGAAAGAAATAAACAGTCAACTCTAACAGAAAGAAGAAACAAGAATTCAAAAAATGAGGAGAGGCTTAGGAGCCTCTGAGACAACTTTAAACATACCAACATCCAAATCATAGGGGTGCCAGAAGAAGAGGAAGAGCAAGAAATTGAAAAATTATTACTATTATTATTAAATGAAAGAAAATTTCCCCAATATGGTGAATGAAATAGACATACAAGTCCAGGAAGCTCATAGAGCTCCAAAAAGTTGGATCCAAAGAGGGCCACACCAAAAGACACATCATAATTAGAATGCCAAAGGTTAAAGATAAAGAGAACCTTAAAAGCAACAAAAGAAAAGAAGAGAGTCGTGTCACTTTGGCAGCACATATACTAAAATTGGAACGATACAGAGAAGATTAGCATGGCCCCTGCACAAAGAAAAGAAGAGAGTAATCAAAAAATGAGTGCCCATAAAACTATCAGCTGGTTTCTCAAAATAAACATCGCAGGCAAGAAGGGACTGGGAAAAAGTACACAAAGAGATGAAAAGCAAGGACATGCATCCAAGATAACGCTATCCAGCAAACCTATCATTTAGAACTGACGGACAGATAAAGTGCTTCCCAGGCAAAGGAGTTCATCATCATCAAGCCTTTGTTGTACGAAATGTTGAAGGGACTTATCTAAGAAAAAGAAGAAGATCAAAGCTATAAACAATAAAATGACAGCTCACAACTATCAAGAATAGAATCTAAAAAAACAAAAACAAACTGGGCAAGCAACTAGAACAGGAAAAGAGTCATAGAGATGAAGATCACATGGAGGGTTATCAGCAGGTAGGGGTGGGGAGAGAATGGAGGAAAAGGTACAGGGAATAAGAAGCATTGCTGGTGGGTACAGAATAGAAAGGGGGTGTTGGGAATGGTATAGGAAGTGGAGAAGCCAAAGAACTCATAGGTACCACCCATGGGCATGAACTAAGGGGAGAGGGAATTGCTGGAGAGAATGGGGGTACCAGGAAGAAGGGGGCAAAGGGAGAAAAATGGGATAACTGTAATAGCATAATCAATATACTTATATTGATATTATTTTAAAATATTATATTTTAAAAAAATATACTCCTAAAAAGTTCTATTATATAGTACCCACATGTAAATAATGTAGCAAAAAGACACCATCTGTTCACTAAATTAACATAATTTTTCCATTAAATATGCTCTGGCACATACGTTCAGCAACAACCTTCAGAAGCAAAAGCTAAGGTATAAAAACACATTCATAATCTTCTTTTTTAAAAAACTACATGTAAACTCAAATGCAAGGCACAGAAATTCCCAGTGTAATGGCAGATTTCCTAAAAGGCCTCTCACATCATCGCCGGAGAAAATCCAATGGTAAGCACACAACCAGCCTGAGAACCCAGTTAAGAGGGGAACTCATCCTCCACTTACTCTCCCTCATCAGACATCGCACAGATGCGACTGTATGCCAGGTACTGTGTTAAGCTAAAGCAACAAGGATCACACCTGTCGACCTACAAATGGGTTGTGTTTGGTTCTTTTTTTTTTACGTGATTCTTCTTTTTTTTTCTTTTTTTAACTTGAAGCACTGCTTAAAAGTTAGGAGGTCTCACATCAACATCCAGCTACCTGGCTTCTCTTGAAAAATTCAGAGATCAAACAACATGGGCCCAAAATGGGAAACTCTGAGCTGTAGCAGAAAAGCAACAGACCCTACAGCAAAGAATACACTTTCCAGCTTGCCACAGTCCCCACCATGCCCTACTGTCACCCCAACAACACTCCCAGAGCTTAACTCACTTATGTCCCTGTCTGGGCCCTGAGGTACTTGAGTCTGCCGATCTCAGCCTAAGAAAAAAAAAGTGATAAAAATGGCCTTGTGCTTAAGAAGCTCAGAGTCTCATGGAGTCAGCAGACAAAATGATAAATTGCAACATGGTGTGATTTAACCTAATCATTCCTGGTAGAGGAACAACCAGGGTGCAACAGAAACCACAAGGAAGATGCGATTGATTCCACCAAAAGGAGTGGAGGCATCTGGGATACCTTCAGAGAAGAGGGCATTAGGAAGGATCTTGGAGGATGAGTAAAAGTTGTTCAGGCAGAAAAGTGGAAGGAAATCATTCCATATGGGTGAAGATGTGAGAGGACTAAAAGAAAATGGAGTTTTCTAGAGATGAGGTTAGAAAGAAAAGGGACTTCTGCTGCCTGCCATGCTCACGGTTTTGAACTTAAGTCTAGGGCGATGGGGAGCCAAGGCAGTTACTAAAGCAGACGCTGACATGACCAGATTTGTTTCTTCAGGGAAAGACGCTGACAGCAGTGCAGAATGTGACCTGGGGCAAAGAGCCTAGCTGACAGGCACTGGATGCCAAGGTGAACCCCTCTGTGTTCGCTTCCTCGTGCTCAGAAACCCCACATTCTCTGCCAGTAATGTACACCTTGGCTAGCTCACCTGCTGTTTCTTTCACAGACCGATGTGAGTCAACACAGTTACCCCCTTCAACTGACATAATACAAATGCCGTGAACTAACGCACAACTCTGACCCTCAAAAAGGTCAAAACGCAATAGCCTAAGTCTCTACAGATTATCTCTACTGCATACAAGAAAGATATCCTCTTTCACCTACCACGTTTCCCTTTCCCGTTTACAGTATCTAGGAGCGACCCATGTGTGGTGTCAGTTTAATCTTCCTTACGGTGAAACTGCTGTAACCATGCCTGAACACCGTCCTTGGCTACCTCCCCTTCGACGAATACACCACGTTAACTCAAGCTTTGATGCAATGTCTGAAGATGATACAGACATGATGCGCTCAGCGGAGCGTCGTTTTACTCAGTAGCAAGCACATTGGCACGTCCCCCATGAAGCAACAGCACAGAAAGGCCACTAGCAAGGGCACCAGGCTACCGCACACAGGCAAAATGAAGTGAAAAAACAGACATCCCCAGAAAGCAATGAAAATTCAATCAGTTGTGCTTTTCTCCCTCAAACTAAACCCTATCTCAAAAGAATCTAAGATAGGCAAATCAACAAGCAGCCTTTTCTTTTTAACTTCCTCAGTTACCATAGCCCCAAACAGACTATTTCCCAGACTTTTTATTGTTATAAAAAACAAATCCATCATTCACTTCTTGTCATTTGTAATTACCGGGCCATAATTGAAACCAGTGAACCACTATGGAGCTTAGTGAAGGGAGGACCTGCGACCTCTGAGCTGTCACTGTAATCCTCACAGAATAAACAAACCATCTCAGGAGTTCTTTCTTCGTCATCTTTGGCCTATACATTGCATGCACTCACTCTGTGCATCGTACTGTGCAATTCCTCTCTTTCCCTAAAGATGGCATGATATTTCAAAGCATTTCCCCCTCAAAATATTGCCTTTTCTCCTCTTCAACAGCCCCCATGAGGCCCACACTAAAACACTTCAACATAATTTAGGAGAATCTATTTGTAGGAGCCAAGAATTCAATTAAGAGAAAAATCATCTTGCAAGGGTTTGGGCAATTCAACCAATTAACCCTCTTGTAACGTCGTTGAGAAAAGAACCTGAAACATCTAACAAAAGGTTTCACAAGTCAGAAGGAACAGGCCAGGGTAGGGGTGAAGGATTCCAGAAATCTGGGTCCCGTCTGCAGTCCTGTGCCCTCAGCAAAACCACACAAGGTCGTGGGCCGCTGACCTTTAGGCACATCTGGAGGGGTACAGGTCTCTGCTCTGCAAGGGGCTACAGAGCTTCTCGAGTTCATGCGAGGGCCTCTAAATCTCACCTGGTGCAACAGCATTTAAACATTGTCCTAAATAACGTTTAAGTTTTTAGACTCAACACGGTCAACAGCAGCACAGTTGAAGTTATTTTCTGTGAACGAGTTCTGCTTCTGCGATGTGATGAAACAGAAGACAGCTGGCAGTGCTGCAGGGCACGGCTGGCCCTGGTGGCTGTTCCCGAGCCACATCCCCTTGCCCCTTCCGACACTCACTGTGGGCTGGCCTGGGGTCCGGGGCAGGGACTCACCTTGGTCGCCTCTTCCACGCTCTCCCTCAGGGCCAGCAGCTCGGCGTCGTACTGCTCCTTCAGCTTCTCCATCTCCTGGTCGTGACTGGAAACCTCTTCTTTCAGGGCTCCCTTCAGGGCAGTGAGCTCCCGCTCCCGCTTCCTCAAGAGGTCTTCCTGCTCCTCTTTGGCGATAAGCAGATCTTGAAGGTCCTGCTTTGCCTGTAAGAGTTCCTGAAGAGAAGAGATGTGAGCCAGGAGGTGAAGACCAGGAGGTGAAGCCAGGAGGTGAACCATCTCTGTCAAGCGCCCCCGCTTCTCCCCTCCAGTCAGGCCACTCAGGGGAGCAGCCATCCGCCCACCCCCGCCTGCACTGTCTCCTTCCTCACATGGACGGGACCATCCCTTCCTCTCCCCTTTCACTCCTCACAGGCCATCATTCCCCCTGATTTAACTAGCTCAGCTTTCCTGAAATTTGAGGGAGAAAAGGGAAACTGATTTAATTTTCATTGCTTTCAGGGGATGTCTGTTTTTTCCATCCCACTTCCTTTCTGGGCCATGGTCTGTGGCCCTTGCTAATGGGGTCATTATGTGTTGTTGCTTCACGGGGTCATGCTGACTTGCTGACCTTGCTTACTTCACATCCCGCTGGAACCCTTAATCCACGATCCCAGTCCTGGGACTGACCCCCCTCTCCCCCCAATCTGAGCAGGGCAAAATACTCACGTTTTCTCCTCAGCCACTCAGAGTTCATGAAGAAAGTCACAAAACTAGGGCAACAAGTTCCACTACAAACAGCATCACCTAAACCCACGTGTGTCCTGCCAGAAGCTCAGCAGGCATTCCTCTGCGTTGCCATCTTCACCCCAGACATGCTCAGCTCCCCTCGAGCTCAGAACCCCCCTCTCTTCCCTTCCCTCCCTGCTTGACCAGGACTTGGGCATGGCTGCCTCAGCCCCCCACTCACCCCAGTTCTCCATACTCAGGCCTTCCCCCCAGCACAAAGCCACTTCACAGGGAGCTGCCCCTGGCCAGCCTGCTCCAAGCCCTACCCTATCCGTTACCTTCTTTTCTGTCACTTTGTTCTTTTCTGTTTCTGGGCATCTACATCTTTTCTCTCAGGGCACAAGAATCCTCTAAGTCAGGAAAAAGAAAAACAAGACTTTCCCACCAAACTTTTTAAAAGTATAATTTCTGTTCACTGCCTCGACTTCTTGACCACCTACTGTTACTCAGTTTCTATTATTCATCTCTTGCTCTATGGCTTTTATTCCTAGGCTACTAAGAGTGCCCCCTCCAAGGTCACAGTGACCTCTTAACCACCATATCCAACGGCCCCTTCTCAGTCCTCGCTTTTCTTGACCCCTCTGATCCTCCCGCCTGTCTCCTTAAACTTCCTTTTGCCTTGCAGTTCAAAGACACCACACTCTCCTGTTTTCTTCCCTCAGGCCATTTTTTTTCTCCTGTGACAATCTTTTCTGGCTTTTCTCTCCCTCTTCCAAAAATGCTAAGATGATCCTCAAGAATGCACCTTTGCATTCCTTATTCTTTTTTTGGCAAGCTCATCTATTTTTCTCCAGCTATTAATTCTATGTAAATAACTCCCAAACTTTTGCCTTCAATTCTTAACCTGAATTCAGACCTGCCCTTCCGATGACCTGCTAGGCACATCCATCCTGATGTCCCACGGGCACTTCAGATTCATTAGGTCTACATTTTTCCTCATGTTCCTTCCCTTCTGCTTCCTTTGTTCACTGTTCTTGTGAAGCCGCCACCTGCTCAGAAGCCTGGCAGCAATCCGACCAATCTCATCCTTGACCCTCACAACCAAAGAGCTGGTTCTGTATGTAACATCTTCGATTGTTTCCCTCACTTCCCTGGTTGAGGCCCTAATCACCTTCTGCCCAGGTGATTGCTTGTGTTCTGTGTTACGCGCCAGGTGGTGCGCCATTGCCACCCAACTGCTCCCTGTATCCAGCCTCTCACCTGTGGCCTCTACAGCACTAGCCACCTGGCTTCCTCTGAAGTGCCCTTCTTCCTCTCACTGCCTTTCAAACAATCTCTGAAGAGTAATGTGACCTTCTCAAAGAAGTCTTCCTTGAATCCCCTCCCTGAACACCCATCTCACTTTAGCTGTACTTATCACAGCACTTGACACTTTAACTTTGCAGTCCATATATTTATTTTCTTATCACCCCTGCTAGACTATCAGCTCCTTGAATGAAGGGCATAAATCTGATTTACCATATTTTTGAGGTATGGATCAATGATACTGGGAATGTGGCTGTTCTGGATATAAATAAATTAGCATGTACAGTAAGTAAGTACATCAGGAATGTAGAGATTCCTGGGGAATCGGAGGAATGGTTGCTACTTGGGGACCTGAGGCCTCAGAGTAAAGCTACTTCCCATTCAAGAAGGGTCATTGATGAAGGGGTAAAAATAGTATCATTGAGTTCAGTACAACTGCCAACAGAATATCTTTCCTTTTCTTTAGAACATGCACATCCATTGAACCAGGGGAACCTCTGCAGTCCCAGGGTAGAGTTGCACTGCACAGACCAGGACTAGTCCTTCAGGAATCTAGCTATGGGCATTGATAAGCTCAGATGAAACAGCAAGAGATTCATCCCGGTAGCTGAGGCAGCTCTGGCTCTTCCAAAGCACGTAACACAGAACACAAGCAATCTTATGAAAATACACATGTCCTGACATTTATCAAAGGGCAAGTCCTGCTGCTGCCACTGCACAGCCCTCCTTCATGGGTGGCAGAGACTCCCCTGCCACTGTTGCTATTGGCTCCTCTGTCAGGTCTTCCTGGAGCCTCCTGCCAGCCTCTGCACCACAGCCCTTGAGAATCTAACCCCTGTTTCCTGCTCTGATTCTCACACGTTTCTCAATTGTTTTGACGATAAGGTAGTTCCTCTTCCCACACTTATCTTTTCCAGGATATATCTGTGTTTTAAGTTGCCTTTTGTGTACTGCTGCCAGTGCACATTAAGAACCTCAGTTTTATGGACCACTCTACACCAGCACACTGCTATCTGTGGCTGGGGCTGTTGCTTAAGTGGACTGTATTGCACAAATCCAATCAAATTACACCTCACCGTATCACTTAGTAGCACTTGAAATTTTCCAGGGTACAGCCCAAAAAGCACAAGGGATTTCAAAAATGTCACTCCCGCACTTCAGTGGCTTTACTGATAATTATACCAAGCCAAAGATGGGAGAGGTAATATATAAACTTCAAAATAGAAGACAACACCCATTAGAAAGGAACGTGCCTCTCTACAGACTCCAATCAAAGAAAACAAGGGAAAATGCTGGCCATTCAGAATCAGCGCTGTCAAAACCTAGGCCAGTCGCACACATGAAAGCGGCCAGGAGAGGAAGACCCAGTGTGTATGGATGTGCGCGTGCAGGTGCGAGAGACTATAAAAGTTAACTGTGTGTGGTACTTCCTACAAAATAAGACTTGTGCTACACATTTCCAAACTAAAGCAAAGAAACAGGACCAGAACCTACAAAGACAAGGAGGAAGGAAAGTTGAGAGACAAAGGACGTTCTCTCTGGGCCCAGCAGGTAGCCAGGGGCAGTCCTGACAACATGCGCACTAAGAGATGCACACCAGATGTCCAGAGCAGCAGCGTACTCGCCCACAGAACACTTTATTGCACATGCCACCTATTCACGGGTGTTCCATGTCACAGGAGAAAAATACTGATCTAAACCCGCTTCTGCATAAATGCTTCCCAGAGGTTCTAAAGGGTCCCTCTCTCTGGCCCATGCTCAATTAAAGGGTAAGTAAAGGGTTTTATATCAAAACTGTAGCTGACAAAGAATTACGTGATTTTTTTCCCAGAAGGATGGCCTAAAAAGTGTAACATGGCTGGTGAAAAATGTGATTTTTTTTACTTTTTTAAAATTAAAAATCCTATAAAATGTTCATTAATATCATTTCTGAGGACAGTCTATCCCCAGACCAATAGTTTCATAACCATCATATTTTACTGATACTTAAAGGACTTGCAGGTTGGCCAAGTCAGAGCTAAAACACCACAAGGCTGCTGGAGTGGGGCCAGCTGCCGGCGCCGCAGGCCCCCAGCAAAGGCGACGGCCAGTAATGAGAAAACTCCGCTGCCGCGGCACTCAGGACAGATGTTTCATGCTTCTCCGTTTCCCCCAGGATGGAGGAAAACACATTTTTGGACAAAGAAGTAGCTGAAAATTTGTTCTATAATCATTTTTGTAAATTGAGTTAAAAACAAAAATTTAGAACCATCAGTTGTTTAAGGATAAAAAACAGTCATCCTACTGTTGACCGATTGCATGGCTTATCCAGAGAAAACAGGATTATTTTCTGCTCTTTCTTCCTTATTTCCTTTCTTCCTTTTTTTCAAACTACTGTGTTCTCTCTGTTTACTGGTTCCATTTAGGGGCCCAATGTCATTTCACAAAATATGAAGTACCATTAGAAGAAATTTTATGAAAAATCTGGTGCATTGGGCATCTCGCAAAACACAGGGCCCTCAGCTATTTTCAAACATTCAAAAGCACAATGTGTTTAATGTTCATTGTGTTTAAGAGTCTTCTAAGTCAAACACCATGCAAAACCTGGCCACAACTGCAATCTGTTATCAGATTCCCCAGCCACTTCTTATTAAGATATGAAGAATACATTGAAAGAGACGAGGAGATGGAGTTTATTGTATGAGTGATAGAGAAACCACAGATCATGTTCTAAATGTCACTGACAAGTCAAAGGAAAACTGATTTAAACAGTGTGGATAATTTTCCAGAGGGAGAGAACCCCACTTTGGCATAGAGAAGCTAACTGTGCCTTAGCTCATCCTGTAGAAAAAAGGGCAGCAGTGGATGGTGTATGTAGTGTCCATTACAGGAAAGAGACCACCAGAAAGCCAGCAGCATCAGGAACATTTTTAAGAAAAGATGTGCTCTGTTTTCCTTTCCTGTTCTCTCATTATTGGCCTCTGCCTGAAAACACATCACCACACCTGAGGCCCAAATCCTCACCCCAATTTCCACTACAAATGTGTCAAGAAACTATTTAATTAACTAAATTATGTTCATTGATATATGCATAGTATATTGTGTTTAAAGAGGCAAATAAGCATATGGCTCATTGCAGAAATATTCCCTTTTCTTAAAATGATGGCATTTTAAAAATAATTTAGATATTGAAATTTATTTCTTCATTTGCTCTGCTGCTTGGCATGAAGTAGGGGAAGATGTAACATGATATGTTATTGAATTAGCTGGCTAGGAGAACAAAAAGATAGATATAAAAATAGGGCAAGGTCAAACATGCTAAAATAAAGAATTTAAAAGGATTGAGGATATCAGACAAAAGGGCAAATATCAATTATAGGTTTCAGTTATTGGGAAAATTCAGCAACTTAAGGGACTTCCCAATAGCTAAGATAACATCTTTCCCTTTTCAAATCAATGAAGTGTCCACACAAGGAATCATACAATATGTCAAAGCCTCACTTTCTATTTAAATTTATTTGTGAAGCTACATTTTTATTAAGCTATAAACTGTTCAGTGATATCATTTCTGGGAAATTATCCTTAGGATATCTTTCTAAAGAAGGACAAGGATACATGTAAAAAATGCTCACCATATTTTTTTATAATTAAAAAAAAATTTAAATATAGGAGGATGATTCACTATACTGTGGTTTATTTATCCTTAAAAAATGAAATGAAGACTGTAAGGTATAATAAGGAAAATGTATCTGACATTAACTTTTAAAAACAGAGATCAAAACTGTAGGAACATTGTACTTGTCCCTACATTATGGACAGGGAGATGAAGCCCCTCAAAGGGTATGGAGGCAAACAGAAAATGGAGAAACAAACATAGTTGTTGCCCTGGCTGGTGTTACTCAGTGGACTGAGTGCCGGCCTGCGAACCAAAGGGTTGCCAATTTGATTCCCAGTCAGGGTGCATGCCTGTGTTGCTGGCCAGGTCCCCAGTGGGGGGGGCGAGCAAGAGGCAACCACACACTGATGTTCCTCTTCCTCTCTTCCTCCCATACCCACTGTCTAAAAATAAATAAATAAAATCTTTACAAACAATCATTGTTAAGCTGTTAGGAAAATAAATGTTTTTCTACCCATCCACCCCTCATTTTAAAATTTTATTTTGTGGTTTTAATAGTATTTCAGTGATAAATACACACATTCTCAGAGCTGCATTCTAATATACTTTGTAATTCTGAGCTCTGAGAAGAAGGCAGAGCCATGAGAAGCAGCATAACACCATGAATGTGGTGGTTTTTAACAAATCCTTGGATAAAGAGGGAAATACCAGGTGGTAAGAAACAGGCCAAATGCCTTCTCAGGAAAAACGGTCTAAACAGAGACAGAGAGATAGATGGTCCTGTGTGGAGAAGAGAAATGATTCCCCTCTACTAGCCACGTAAAAAACAAAAGAAAACAAAAAAACAAATTCCCACCTCCTGTGCAGTGTGACCACATTGCCAAGTCGTGGGGAAGAGAGAGGCTAAGTTCTAAAAGGCAGGAACTAAATCCTTCCTGGGGAATTACTTCAATACTAAACAAGAAAGGGGGTGAGAAAACAAGTGACAGCAGAAACTGAACGAGGAACTTTAGGGACTTAGGAGCCAGCAGCTTTTAACCCCAAGAAAGGGACAAAGAAAAGACTCGAGCACGCAGGAGGAAAGCAATAGAAAGTAAACGCTGAATACCAACAAGGTACCTCTCATTTGATTTTTTTTGCTTTGTTCTAAATTGTGTATCACTAATTTTTCAGGCTAGTCCTATAAACTGATGTTTATTAAGAAAATAAATTTCAAAACCATGCCAAAAATATAGGTGATGATAATATTAGAGCAAATATCAAACCATCTAAAAGGGCACAGAGATAAAACTTCTGTGTTCTTATGACCCTCAGTTAGATTCATTTCCAACAAAAAAGTGTAGATGTTCAAAACCTGTTCTTGCTCTCTAATCATTTTATATGCATGTATCTAACAACTCAACAGGATGGTAACCTAATTCAGGGAAAAAATAATAATTGTCTTTGTAAAACCCCATAATAACTAACAAATGCTAAGCAGAAGAACGAATTAACCTTATCTATTGACTCACAGATTGATAAGAGTAAATATTTAATAGGAGACATACTAATATAGGCAAAGGCTTGATGGGCGGCCTATGTACATAGCAAATAAATTCATTCATTCATTCACTTAGCCATAATGCATCCGTCCAGCCACCCACCCACCAAATATTTACTCAGTGCTATATGCCCCAAGCACTGGGATGGCTGCTGGGGATAAAATACCAAGCCAATCACAAGCAACCCTGCCCTCCTGGAGCTTACAGTTGTGGGGCATTAAACAAACAAAAATTTAAACTGTGATAAGTGCTATATGGACATTAATGTCTTTTCAATGATTTTCCATAAATAGCATCACTTACAAAGTATTTTTGCCCAAAGTTTAACCTAAATCTATTGGTGTAGAGATCTAAATACAAATTTACTAAAACACAAGGGATGAACGCCATGAGGAAATAATCAGTCTCTTCAGAAGATCGATGGGTTGAGGAAAGAGAGCAGAGAGTGGGGAATGGGGGAGAGGGCTGCACCGAGATAAGTGAAAACTCAGACAAGAGTGAGCGCAATGTGAGACTGTTGATTGGATCCCGGCTGGGAGGTAGGGGGAGCACAACCATAAAACATACTTGGGGACAACTGGAAAATTCTGAATAAGAGCCCAGGTATTAGAATTCTTGTTATATTTTATACATGTACAGGAATTATTAAAATTTTCAAATGTGATGATAGTATTGTAGTTGTAAGAAAATTCCCCAATTTTTCAAAGATGTATGCTTATGAATTTAGGAGTAAGGCATGTTATCTGTAATTTGTTTTGAAACAGTTAAGCAAAGAGAAATAAATGGATGCATGAAAAAACAGAAGAATGGATGGAGAGATGAATAAGTGTGTTAATATCACAAAATGTTGACAACTGTTGTATCTGGGTTGGGGCTCTATGGAAGTTAATGAAGGACGCTTTCTACCTTTCTATATGGTTGAAAGTCTTAGGATAACATTTAAAAACTATCATAGACGATGCTCTTACAGAATCTAACCACAGGCACAGGTGGAGCTGGGGCACCGAACAGAGGGTGGCTCAGAGCTCTCAGTCCCCACCCCACCTCCACCAGCTCATCCTCAGGCAGATGCGCCTGTCTAGTCCCCCGACACCACAGTTTCTTACCTCAATGAGAGCCCCCTTCTCTCTGTCCTCGGATCGTTTAGCACTGTCCAGTTCATCGTGCATTTCTGAGAGCTGGTCCTGGAGATCTCTGATCTCAGTCTGGTGCTGTTCCCGTTCCATCTTCACCTGGAACAGCCTGACAGGAAAGGAGTCCATCAGGCACACTGTCCTGGGCTCTGCTATTCTCACTCAGTCTGACTTCAGACCTTCAGATGCTCAAACAGAGACATCTAAAGCCCCAAGGATACCCCATTCTCTATTTCCCATTCTCTGCTTCCCCCCCGCCCTGCCCTAGTACTAGAGATCAGAAGTCAGTAAATTATGGCTTATGGGCCAGTCTGGCCTACTGACTACTTTTGTAAATAAAGTTTTATTGGAATACAGCCATGCTCATTCATTTATGTATTGCTTGCGGTCACTTGAACAATACAATGGCAGAATTAAGTGATTCCAACAAAGACCATATGGGCCCATAAACCATAAAGTATTTGCTATCTGACAACAGTTTGCTAACCTCTGCTCTAAATCAAATTCACAACTAATTCTACCTTTTTATTTTATAAAGCCTTTGCTACACCCTAAATTTACTGATTTTGTTCTTACCAACCTCTTTTCTAAAATTAACTTCTAAGAATGTTTTAAAAGCAAAAACCACACCAACAAAATAGCCACAGCATTAAATGCTTTTATTATAAATATAACATGCCATTTTTCTTGAATTTCCCTCCAGAGCTCACTCCTGCTTGAACCTTCACTTAAATGTCCCATCATGTCCACTGGGCCTCATAGCACGTTACCTTTTCAGACCTCAGCTTCAGATCTTTTTTTTTTTTTTTGTACAGATTTTAATGCAACAATGACAGAGCCACCTTGGGCTTGACTTTCCATCTCTGCAGACTCAATAGAAGCATAAGCACAGGTCGCAGAGACCAACGCCATCCAGGATAAAATTCACAAACCGGGAGATTATGGTGGTCTCGTGACACGGGCTTTGCGGAGGCTGGGCTCAGGCTCCTTGAAATCCCACTCCTCAGATATCGCCACTCAGTGTCCCTTACTTCTCTCTTATGCACTATGAGGTCTACATGAAGGGCTGAAAGCTTACAAGACATCCTTTAAGGTGTACAAAGAATTTTAAAATTATAACCTTTCTGCTTACCAAGGAGAATAGGAAGAGTCAGCAGCCGCTTCAGATATTTGGAAGACCAGGTAGTACTAAATGGACTAAAAAGCTCTGCCTGCATCGGAAGGACACAGGCTCTAGGCCCAGAACTTACTCCTCCAGGTTTTTCCGGAGCTCCCCTTCACTTTCTTCTAGGCGCCGCTGCAGCACGGAGTTCTCTTCCGCCTTCTTGTCATGCTGGCTCTGGAGCGCCTCTAAGTTTGCTTTCATTCTTTCTCTCTCTTCTTTGAGGTTCTGTTGATTCTAGTAGGAATACATGTGATTTTAAAGTACTGCCGCTATACATTAATGTCATCCCACAGAAGCCTATTTCCAAACTCTGATGGGCTCCATGTCTTTGCACTTATATTTTTAATTATTAATTGCATTATTAATTACAAATTGAACTACATAATTAAGGTGTAAGAGTTTATAACTAGAAAGAATATTCAATATTAAATGTGTTGTAATACTTCTAAAAGAGAAACTCAACCACAGCTGAACCTCATTCTATTTTGATTACTTAGTTCTGATATTTTGTATGCATTCAGTTTCCTATTGGCCTGTCTGATCAAAAAGTGTTTTCTTTCACTCTGTCAAAGCAAACAGTCTCTATATGCTTTGGTTACTTTAAAAAAAAGTTATTTGGACAGTAAGAGCCCATGTATAGTAATTTACTTTAGTGATGAGAGGAACGTTTCTTTCAGGGGAAAACATTGCCGTTCAATTCACTTGAGCATCCCAAGGCACTTAAAATACTCTTTATCAATCAAGACGGGGGGAGAAAAGGAAAAATCAGATACCTTGACTTCTAGTTGAAGCTGTTTCTGAAGTTCAGCCACTTCGATAGTCAACTTGTTTTTCTGTTCCAACAGATCTTTCACTTCAGATGAAGAATTAGAAGCCTACAATTAATTGCAAAGATACACTAATTTAAATGTTCAAGGCACTTCATTTTAATTCTTTCCCTCAAAATATAATCAGAGCAGTAACACAAAAAATCTTAAGACTCAGTTCCAGTGCAGACCCCAACAGACAAGGGGAGTGAGGAAACCTTCGGGAGTGGTGGAAGTGGCCTGCATCTCGACCTGCGTGGTGTTTGCATAGACACAGACCCAAAAAAGATCAACAAACTATGCAGGTAAGATTTGTGAATTTACTGTAAGTTATACCCCAATAAAACAATGTAAAAAGATCAAAATAAATATTTGTGAAAATTCCTCTACTGCATAAAGTAATACCCAAAGCCCATGTCTCTGTGTTCCCAAGGCCCTTTGTATAAAAGTCAATTAGGGAATTTTCACTAGATTGGGAATTACTGCTCCATAACCACCAACAAGATTTTTATCCCTCATTCTCTGCATATGCCTATATGCAAATAGTAAATAAATATATTTGGCTAAATTGGCTTTCTTCTGAAGGGGAAAGGTCAAGTCAAGGAATATGTATAGAGGATCCATGGACAAGAACAATGGGGGGGGGGAAGGATTGAATATGGGAGGGAGGGGGGGAGAGTAAGGGGGAAAATGGAGACAACTATAATTAAACAACAAAAAAATTAAAAAATTACATCCATGGATGTAATAATAGGATGATGTTCTCAAAAGGATTTGGCTAAAATCCTACAATACGGTGGTTAGAAAACTACAAATAGGGAAGGGGGAATAAAAGCAGGAATACAAACTAGAAAAGGCAGTGACTTAGCCCTCATGCGCCTGAACCCAGGAGTGAGCTGTACGTGATGAACTTGGAATGCGGCATTTCCTCATCTCCTCCTGTGAAGTTATCCAGAACCCCCCCACCCCCACTACACAGTCAACAAAAACACTGGACTTCCCATTCTCTCAGATAAAATAAGAACAATCCATTTTAGAAATCTAAATGCATCCCATGAGGAACTTACACACTGCTCTTTCCCAAACAAAAACTCTGCCTGCTTTGCTGTTTTCCAATGTGGTCTCAGTCCACATGGGAGAGGGTTCTTACATTCTCTCTCAGGGAATCACTTAACTGACACCCAAAAGACCAAACTCCAAAGCCTGCCAGCAAATAATCAGATTCAGAAAATAAGAGGGAGACAATGGGAGTAGAAAAATATGGGCAATGGGACAGTCACTACCCTGTGATCGGAACCAGAGATCTAAGAGCCTTAGTTCGTTTCCTCATCATCGCTCCCTTGATTCAGCAGTGCTTCTTAAATGGTCTCCCTTCTCCTAGTCTTACCTCTCTCAAAAACCCACAAAAGGGATGAATTTTAATGAATATGACGCTATCCATTCCTGTTTAAAGTCCATCCATGGGCCCCAGCTGGTGTACCTCAGTGGACTGAGCACCGGTCTGAGAACCAAAGGGTCACTGGTTCAATTCCCAGTCAGGGCACAGGTTGCAGGCGAGGTCCCCAGTAGGTGGTGCATGAGAGGCAACCACACATTGATGTTTCTTTCCCTCTCTCCCTCCCCTCCTCCCTAAAAATAAATAAATAAAATCTTAAAAAAAAAGTTCATCAATGTAGCCCATCACCTTCAACCTGAAATGGAAACTTCTGATGCGACTTCTGAGGTCCTTCCTACCTGGTGCTTTGTCCCACATACTCTCTGCCCCCGCTACACAAAATTTCCTCCATTCCCTACGTATGGCTAGCACATGCCCCTTTACATTTTATTTGTGCCATTCCCTCCACCTACAACCCTGCATTCCCTTCTCCCAGAGAATGTCACTGACTCCAGAAGGGCTAACCTGACTTCCCCAGCTTGGGCTGGATACCCCTAGTCTGTAACCCACAATCAAAATCAAAAGATGTAAAAAACAAGCAAACAAACAAACAAAGAATGTGTTCTCACTAAGAATATGCAGATAATGAAAAGCAAGAATCAGAGTAGTAATTTGGATTTAAGAGTTTTAGCAAAAAAAAAAAATTCTTAACTAATTTTAAGAACTATGTAGAACTCCTACAGCAAAGTGTATAATCTAAAGATTCCCCACTGGCAATAGTTAATATATGTATCAATAACTATGATACACAGCGGTGGGCAAAGGTAAGTTTATAGTTGTATGTGGCACAGTTTATTCTTATATTATTATTTATTAATAATTGTATTTTCCTTTTTCTAAAGATTTGATTTATTTATTTTTAGACAGAAGGGAAGGGAGGGAGAAAAAGTGGGAGAGAAACATCAATGTGTGATTGCCTCTCACACACCCCCTCCTGGGGACCTGGCCCGCAACCCAGGCATGTTCCCTGACTGGGAATCAAACCAGCGACCCTTTGGTTTGCAGGCTGGCACTCGATCCACTGAGCCACACCAGCCAGGGCATAATTGTTGTATTTTCCATACAAACAACTATAAACCTACTTTTATCCACCCCTGTATGTATGTATGTTTATATGTATATGTACACACATATATACACATAAATATACACATTAAAATATATATATATATAGTTTGATTTGATGCCACTAGAGTTCTATTTGATGCCAGAGCAGCAGTCACAGGCAGCTGAGTGCTAGGGGAATACTGAGCAGTAGAGAAAAGAAGGCAGTCGATGTCTAAAAGTGTCCCCTATACATTCTCCCACAGTTGAAAAGAAGCTATAGACAAACCTCCTATTTCCTGCCTCTGGGTATCTTTCCTGCTCAGTATTCCCCTGGCACTCCTAAGAGGAGAAAGTAATGACGCACAAGCAAGAAATGGGCCCCAGTTCAAGGCAGTGTAGAAATGAGGAACAAGTATTTAGTCATCTCCCTTAAATGCATCTTCCTTTCAGGGCACAAGGTGTGTCTAACATATAGTAGATGTTCATTGACTATGAGAGGAATCCTTTTTTAACAACAACAAAAAATCTCCAAGTCCCAAGTATTTGGTGCAATCAATTAAACAGGCAGTTGTTTTTTTTAAACTGGCACTATTCTACTCTTTCCTGTCCCTTCCACCAATGCTGGTTGGCTTCATCTGTCTCTATTTCTTAATCTCTTGATTTTATTCTCTTATTTCTTATTCCCTGAAGTTCCAGCCCTTGGGTCCAAGCCCATTCACTTACCTTCTGAATTTGCCTATAATAATACTAGACAAATTCATTACTTTGCTTCATTCTTTCTATTTTTATTTTCTCTTTCTAAATCTGTTTCATTCTATTATGTTTTTAAATAAAATTATTTTAAAACCTTTCTAAAAAAAAGACACAGCACAAATTTATAACATTTAAAACCTGATCTTCCATCTCAGGCACTGCTCACTACTCGGGAAGCTTCCCACTTGGTGGTATAACCAGCTACACAGGCCGAAGACACAGCAGTTTGTTTGCCACGTTCCATGTTGAAGGAATGCCCTCTGCAAGATACAAAACTTCAACTTACTTGATTATTTCCTTGTGTGCTTGCTGCTCGAGACTTTAAAGTCTGAATTTTCTCAAAGACCAGGTTGACTTTCCTTTTAGTAGCATCATCATTATCGGTGCTTCTGAAAAAGAGGCAAAAGAGCCTGACTGGTGTGGCTCAGCGGGTCGGGTGTCAACCCACAAACTGAAAGGTTGCTGGTTCAGTTCCTGGTCAGGGAACATGCCTAGGTCATAGGTCAGGTACCCCGTCGGGGGTGTGCAAGAGGCAGCTGATTAGTGTTTCTCTTGTGTATCAATGTTTCTCTCCCTCTCTTTCTCCGTCCCTTCCCCTCTCTCTAAAAATAAATAAATAAGATCTAATAATTTATGTGCCATGACCCACAAACAAGCCCTCATAGAAGACAAATTGCTGAGGCATGATTTTTTTTTTTACAAAAAATTACAAAATCAGTGGAGAGCAGAATGGATAGTGTATTTTTTCATCCCATATATTGTCTCATACTACTACTCAGTTTGAGACAGGGGTTCCACTTTCAAACATGTGAAAGAGACACAACAACATTCTAAATAAGCTTGGAGGAAACATTCAGGGAAAATTTAATAACTTGTTTTTGATTCAAATTAATTATATCCATTGCAACAAGGGATTTCTCCTCTGTGTGTCTCACACATGCGTACATTCTTACTTTTCAACCTTACACTTAAGAGCGATCTGCAGTGATCTTAACCTGTTTAGCCTGTGTCTAAGAAAATAAATCCCCCAAGCTAAGACTGTCAACACAGCAGCCCTTTGTCTAGACTTTGACAGGTAGTGAATGATTGGCTAAAGCCTTATTAACTTCAACCACACCTTCTATCACACATACCTGACAATTAGGGGGAAATTTTTTTAAATACGTTTCTTTCAATAAGTGCCTCCACTAAAGTCTGTCTCACCAGTCTCTCAAATCATGAACCAAAATATAAAAGAATTTAGAGAATTTTAAAAATCAAAAGTTTTCCTGCCTTAACCTTAAGTAAAGCCCTTCACAGAGAGATACTAATAACTAGTTCTTGGCTAGAAGAACAGAAGAATCTCTCTGGTTCCTTCTTTTTCTCAAAAGGAGCCGTATCTTATATTTTGAACCTGACTATTTTGTCAGCTCTATATCACTGACAAATAATTGTAAGGCTCAATACAAAAATATGAAGTGTTTTGATAACCAATGAGTATTTGCCATGTGACTTTCAGTCATGTCAGGTTGTAAAGCTTTTTTTCTTTTTAATCACATCTGATGAGAGAACTGAAACAGAAACTTCAGATTCCTGACCTAGAATTCCAGCACAATTATTATCTAAGTAAGGACTGAAAACCAGATTATGCAAACTCAACCTCCAAGATAAGTACGTGGAAAGCGCTGCTTTTAAATGACTCATACATGCTTTAAAAATAATGGAAGCAGGGGCTCCTGGCCAATGTTAACTCTGGGGAGGAAAGGAGGTGTTTTTACTGCTAACTTCTCATAAGGGACGACAGAGTGCTATGGTGCGCACGGCGGAAGGCACCAGGAAGGTGACAGCAAATCAATCCACACCTGAATAACAGACATTCTTCTATCTTTGAATTTGGTTTCAGTGACAAATTCAGTTCAGTCATGTAAAAAATATATTTATAATTTTTAAAGTATGGCGTCCTTCCTTACACTCCCCTCCCCTGCCCTTCCCTCCCCACCACCCAAGATTTAAATGTTTCTGTGAAAACTCCAGCCATCGAATCTTAACCCTCAAACAGCTCACAGAGGGCCCCAAGGGAGGGCAAAACACAAGGTCTCAGGAGAGGAAATTAACAGCCCCACAAGAAATGACAGTATTTTGCTCCTTCAGGGCAATGTACTAACCCTTCTTTGAGGTAATTGTAAAGTATCTGCTTGGCCGTCTCCTCGTTGGTTTGTTGAGTGAGCTCTTGCTGGCCCTTTAACAGATCTGGTGTGGCCTGGAACAGAGTGTCTGTTATTAGATGGTGTTTCCAGGAAGAAGGCAAAACCCTGAAGCAGAAGCTTCCAGACTCATTCCTACTTCCCAAAAATGATTCCTGAGGTAAGGATCCTCCAACTGGCTCCACCACTTAGTGAGTAAGTAGCTTGGTATCCTTGGGCAAGTTACTTAACTTTTCCTCACCCCAATTTTCTCACTTGTAAATGGAGGTTAATAGGACCTACCTTCGCAGGGTTGGTGCCATCCTATAATACACAACAAACAGTGCCTGACACTTATAACCTTATTATCATTTTTATCATTATCATTAATTTTTTATTGTGTCTACCAAGACACTAAATATACCACTTAAATAAATTCCATCACTTTAGAGTTAACCTTAAATTAGGGTTAACCTAATTTCTCAGGCCAGGAATTAACCCAGCCACTCAAGTTCCTCATGAGGAAAATTCATACACAAACCTAAGCCCTGACCTCTGCATAGAAACAAACTCCATGTACTTCCTGACTTCACACCTATACAAACAGAAAAGTCAAACTTCTCTATAGTGTTTGACAAGTTCCTTTACAGACAAGCCCCCAGTGGAAATCTAGTTGTACTTGAATTATCTTAGAAAACCATACAATTGGCAGCAGAACATATCTGTAGGAAACACTCTGGTAAAAAATCGGATGTGCAACCACATATTCCAGATGGAGGATAGGTATTTCTATAGCTTCCTGCAGCATGAGACTGCAGCATTTAGAAGAGGGGGAGGGGAGGGGAGGTTGGGAACCTCACAAGAGCATTACCTGAGTATTTGAGGTGGGAGTAAATGTCTTCACAGAAATCTTCTTGGCACCAGAGTCAGGTGAAGTTGCTAGCCCCCGATTCTGTAACATCAGTGTGGCAGTGGCCGTTTTGATTTCCTCCTCCTTCTTATTCTGTGCTGGGAGGGAGGATGCATGTGCGACGGTCGTACTTTCCTGACCACCTTTGCTTTCTAGAACTTTCCCCTCTTTGCTCTGCTGGGGAGGTCTGGGGTGGGCTCCCTGAAGCTTGGTGGAAGCACGGCCCATGCTCTGTTTCCCACGGTGCTCCTGGGCTGGCGGCCGCTGCCACACCTGTGAGGGGCGCAGGAGGTGTTCGCTGGACTTGCCCAAGTTCCTGCTAAATTCATTTAGGTACTCCGAGTTCCCTTGGAGACCAAAAGGAAAGGCACTATCCACGCTTCTGGACCTCTTTCTGTCATCTGGATGGATTCTGTTTCGCCTCCCAGACCTTCCCCTTCTCTGCAGGCCAGGTTTTTGGTCAAATTTTTCAATTAATTGATCCACACCAGGAATTGATCCCGTATCAATATCTCGCCCAGTCCCGGGCAAGAAGGGGATATACCTTCTGTTTTCGTGACGATTCACATTGTCAGCATGGATGGCACATTCTTGATCATCAAGCAAAAATCTGTACAAGGAGTTGGCCGACGTGGGCGTTGTCGACGACGAGGAGGATCTCCGAGACCGAGACCGAGCTCCATCCAGGATGGCACCGGCTGAATCTTGTCGCCGGAAGGGAAGCACATCTGGCCTGGTTTTCTTGTTTTCAGAGTGGGCATCTGGGCCATGGGCAGGTAGGGGCCTCCCACTAGCGGAAAGGGCCTCCTCTGCCAGCCCCTCCTTGGTGCAGCTCTGCACATTCACACACACTGAGGTCTGCTTCTTGGGGTCATCTATGACCACCGAGCTGCATAAACGAATGGCTGTCACGTTGGATTTGGCCGGGTCTCCCAAAGGAGGGCTGGTAGGCTGGGAACTGCTATGTTTGGGAAAGCAAGTCCAACTCTTCTTATTGTTGATACCTTCGTCTGTTAAGGATTTTGGCCAATTACTCTCAGGCGGTTGGTGATTTTGTACATTCAACTCATTCTTCTCGGGGTCATAGGGTTGCAAAAGCTCTGGGTGCCTCTGAAAGTTCAGTACGTGGGATGGCTTCATGGGCCCCTCTTTGCACTCTACAACCCCATTCTTGCCCTCAAAGAGAGAGGGCTGTTTCAGGGCCCTTACTGAGGTGGGTTGGGCATACGGGTTTTCTGGAAGCTGCAACTCTTCTGCATTGTGCTCCTCTAGCCCAGCCCCATTGCTGGGATGCACAGGCAGGTTATTAATCACTGGAGATGGAAATGAGGGCCCATTTTCAGAAAAAGATGTACCTGGCACACAGCGCTCTGTATTATTCAGGACTATGTAGGGGTGGCCATCGATTCCCTGTACCCGAATACTGACACCATAGGAGCCGGCCTTAGAGGGCTGGGAATTCCTGGATTTTTTGGTTTCGTCACTTGCGAGTCTCAGATGGACACCGTATTCCTGCTGCACGTGCTGATATTCACCAAAATACAGCTCCATGCTTCACCGTTCCCACTACCGGGGAGAGATGGGACAAAAAGAGGACATTAAGTTAGAATCACATCTGTTTAAATGAAGATTATGTGCGGAAATGCCAAAGTTCAAAGAAAACAAAACACTTTAAGCAGCAAGGAAACTTCAGAACCAAATGCTTGTCCAAGCAGGCCTTTCTGGATGCTCCTGGGCTCAGAGACCATGGTGTTTATCAACACCAGGCCTGAACCCTGGCCCAAGGGTAGATGACTGGTATAATGATCTGAAGCCCTTGGCATAACCTCATGATTCTGTTTCTAGCTGATGGGCTGTTCTGTTTGCTTCATTTTTATCCTTAACTGTTTTCCACATACTTTATGCTATTTATGTTTAACCAATAGGGAAATTCCAGTTACCAGCATTTGAGAAAGAGTAGTTTTCCATGAAGTCAACTAAGAGCTATGGTGTTTTGACGCTCACCACTTTTCTTTCTTCCTATACCATTAGTTTTTCTATCAAAACAACCCTCTCAATCTTTTTTATGCATCATACTGCTTTGCAATCTTCATCACTATTTGTTTGGATATACTGTTCAAAATATTTTTACTTAAAGGAAGCAGTTGTTTGTGAGACCGACAGTGAGTGATAATGACTAAAAACAATTTTCAATCACATTTTCTTACTAAAAAAGATCAAATAACATATTGATCTTAAATACGTTATGTAAAACTGAAGGCTCAAAGCTCTTTATTTTGTGATGGGTCCTAACGCCAAGAATCACTGCCTTTACCCTTCTGGTGTGTGGCCAGGCTTGTCAGGACCGCACACAGATCATCAGCCCGTGCCACGCTTGGCAGTTCTCTCACCAGAAATTCACTTTCATCGCACCAGAAAGCTCAAACAGCAGTAAGAGCAGTAAGAGCAGTAAGAACTAGTCACAGATCACAGCTGTCTCATTTCTTTCACTGCTAGCAGACGTTTTGAGTTTCTTTCTATACTGAAATCAATCTGATAGCATATTTTCCAAGAAAACCATCTATTTGATCCACATTCTCAAATTGATTTACATAGTTTTGCAAAGTGTAAACACTTCATCTCTGTGTCTATTTCTCATGACCTAGTTCTGTTTGTGTTTTCTTCACCAACTTCTTGATTTCACAGGTAAAATATATGTCTATGTTTTTTAAATTGTTGTTCCCCCTAAAGAACTAGCTCTTAGATTTATCCTTTCTTTTCTTCTTCTTCTTTTTTTTTTTTTAGATTTTGTTTTATTTATTTAGAGAGAGGGGAAAGCAGGGAGAAAGAAAGAGTGAGAAACATCGAAATGGGAGAAAAACATTGATCGGTTGCCTCTCCCACACACCACAACCTGGGACCAGGCCCGCAACCCAGGCCCGTGCCCTGACTGGGAAATGAACTGGCAATGCTTTACTTCATAGGACAACACCCAACCAACCGAGCCACGCCGGCCAGGTCAGATTTATCCTTTCTTTATTTTTTTTTTTTCATATTCTAATTTACTGAGTTCTAGTTTGAACATTATTTTTAAAAATATTTTATTTATTTTTACATATGGTAAGGGAGGGAGAAAGAGAGAGAGAGAAACAACAATGTGTGGTTGCCTCTCATGTGGCCCCCACTGGGGAGCTAGCCCACAACCTAGGCATGTGCCCTGACTAGGAATTGAACCTGCCATGCTTTGGTTCGTAGCCCGCACTCAACCCACTGAGCTACATCAGCCAGGGCCTAGTTTAAGCATTGTTATTTCTTTCTGCCTTCCTTTATTTTGTTGTTTTTGTTTCCAATTTCTTTATTTGCATGCTTCATTTGTTTATTTTCATTTTTAATTATATTCCACAAATTGCGATATGTGACTGTGTTGGTTAGGAATTTTGTTGGTTCCTATTAACAAAGAGACTCAAAAGAGTTAGGATTTTTGCCCTAGTTAGTGTGGCTCAGGTGATTGGAATGTCATCCCATAAACCAAAAGGTTGCAGGTTCAATCCCCAATCAGGGCACATACCTAGACTGCAATTCAGTTCCTCCTTGGGGTGTGTATGGGAGGCAACCAATCAATGTTTCTCTCTCCCATTGGTTTCTCTCTCTCTCTCTCCCTCTCTCCTTTTTCCTCTCTCTCAAAAGCAATGAAAAAATGTCCTTGAGTAAGGATAAAAAATATAGGAGAGAGAAGTGTTTTTCCCTCCAGAGGTAGGAAGTCCAGACTGGAATGAATGGATTCCAGGCTATTTTTGAGGAACGCCTCTTTTTATCTTTCCACTCACCTACCTTTAGTGCCTGTTAGATACCTTATGATTATAAGATGGCTGATCCAGAATCACATATGCCAAAGACTTATTAGACAGCTGAGTCAACCTCTTTTAAGGAGCTTTCTTGGAAGCCCTGCCCACTGATCATCCCTTGCATCTTATTGGTGAGAAGTTAATCATATGGCCACTGCTCAGCCCCACTGACTGAAAGGAGGGCTGTGAAATAGGGCTTTTAGCTGGTCGGTGCCATGCTCAACAAAATCACCGTTCTGTTAGTAAAAAGAGAGAAGAGAACAAACATTGAGAAGGCAGCTTTCCACCACAGGAATGTTTCTATTACTACTTTCTAGATGGATTGTGGTTTTGATTTCTTCTTTGACACAAGAGTTGTTTTTGAGAAAGTTTTCCATATCCAACATGTTTGTTATTGTGTTGTTTTGGTTTGGAGGGTCTCTATTTCTACATGTTGTACATTTCTACTTGCATTATAGTCAGAAAAAGAAGTCTATTACTTCTCCCTTTTTAAATGTATTAAAGTTCCCTTTGTGGGCAAACACATGGGTTATTTTTGTCAATGTCCAATGAGTGCTGGTTGTAGTCCCTTTTTTAAGGCATGACATTCAAAATGCATCCATTAGAACAACCTTCCAATTACTTGATTCAGCTATGGCGCACCCTTACTAATTTTGTCTCCCTGAAGACCCAAGGAGACATTTGTCTCCTACTACTGACATGATGCTGTCAGTTTTGCTTGGTGACTAGCCTTTTAGATGTAAAACACGTTAGACGTCATCACCTATTTTACAGACAGAAACCACTTGGAGAGGTACATTCATCTGCAAAATTCATCATTATTTCACAGGTTCCAGTCATTTCATTGCCCATTTCCATTTTCATCAGTTATACTAACATTTTTAATCAAAGTAAAACAAAATATAATGCCAACCTGTACTCTCCACCTTCCCTCCCTTCATCCCAATCACATTTCGTAGAGGAAACCGATTTCAAATAATAGCTGTTTCTTCTAGTATTTACCTCCATGTTGCTAGGTAATATGCTTATTTCTTAATTTACTAGTTTTATATATGGTAAACGACACAGCATACATGTGAATTTCTCATTCTGCTAGCTTCCCAATAATAAAATCAAGGGCCAATTGTTTTATATTATCATGACTACATATTGTTCACCAAAGAGCCAAACTGTAGACTCTGGTCACCTATTGTTTCTTATAAAACTTTAACTTTTCTAGGGTTAATAATTGATTGCTATTTTGACTTGTGTTGTTTTCTATGTAACTATCCTTAAATCCTTTTATCTGCTGCATCACCACTGTTACTTACTGGTGTTAATTTCCAGATGATCAAAGCAGCAGATAATTTGGTAATCTTGTCCCCTGGTGACCCTTCTGCAACCCTCTACCATCCCGCCCTGGTCAGCTTGTTCTCCTCCTCTTCTTCTGAATTGTTTCCCAGTTTTGTGTCTTCCTTTTTCTGACTTTACCCTACTGGTCTGATGGAGCATACTTCCACCTGATATTTAAGAAAAGTTCCAAAGGAGTACATTTTTGAGTCCTTGTAGTCTGAAAAAAAAGTCTCTAATCTATGTTTATTTTTGATTGATAACCTAACTGAATTTAGAATCTAGGTTAGAAATAATTTTCCCTGAGATCTTTAAAAGTATTAGTGCATTATCTTTTAGCTTCCAGGAATGCTGTAAAAAACTCCAGTGCCATTTTAATAGCCTTTCCTCTGTGTGTGCCCTGATTACTTTACTCTGAAAGCTTCAGGACATTTTATTTGCCCCTGATGTTCTGAAATTTCACAATGATGTACCCAAGTGTGGGTTTTATAAAATTAAACAATTTTATGACACATGGGCACTTAATATATTCCTTCAATCTGAAAACTCATGTCTTGAGTTCTATGAAATGTTCTTATATCATTTCTATGATAATGTTCAGAGAACCATTTTATTTTGTTTTTGTTTTTTGCATCTACTATATTAGTAATGTTAAATCTCTTAGACTGAATTTCAATTTTTGGCCTTTCTTTCTCATCTACTTCTCAACTCCATTTTTTATTTTTTTGTTCTACTTTTGGAGAAATATATTCTCGACAGTTTGTTTTTTTAAGTATTTAATTTGTTATTTCCACTATCTCCTTCTTGTTCTCTATCCTCTTTCATAAGTGCTATTCCCATTTTAGAAATGAAATAGTTTCTTACTTTCTGCAAATATTACCATAACTTTTTCCAAAAAATACATTTTCTCTGCTACTTGCACCATCTCTATTTTCTGCAAGGTTCTCTTTTCTGTTTTGTTTTGGTCCATGCCCTTCATGGTGAGGCTTCCCTAACATGACTCAGTTCCTTAGCTGCCTAATCCTATTTAAGAGCAAAGTACCAAAAGCAGATTGGAGGCTCTTTATGTGTGGAAATGTTATTCACCGGTGAGCTTCAAGTAATGTAGGAAAAAAGGTGCCAAGCGTTCTTTCCACTGAGGGACCCATATATTTCAGTATCTGGGGGCATTTTTTTTTTCTAGAGCTGTTCTATTTGTCAAGAAAAGCAGGGGGCTACACAGGCCTGGCTGCTGGCATAATGGAACAGGGCAGGGGACAAGTATGGAGGTCCCAGCTCTCATTCAGCCCCCTGTTTTCAGTCCCCCACAACCCCTCCCAACATTATTCCAGTTCAGTTTTTCCAGATAATAGGCCTCCAGTCTGCTCTGGGGTGGGGAGGTGGGTACCCACATATCCAGGGTGCAGAGGAAGC